TATATATATATATATATATATATATATATAATCAAACATCAATTTCAGCTGTGGATTACATTGAAAAGATCAAAAATCCCAATCTAAAGCTGCAGCTGGTAAGCATATATGATCCTTATTGTTGATCACAAGTTTGGCACAACTTCCTACATGTATATCATAATCTATTGTTTTGTGTGCGGATAGATCGAAGGAAGCTGGCGAGTCACTGCATGCTAATGAAAACATTTTCAAGCTAGCAGGAAAACGTTGTTATTAATGTCATTCTTCTTTTGTCCTTCTTCTTCTACTTCTCTTTCTTATTTAATTCTTTTCTTCTTCTTTTTCTTCTTCTTCTTCTTCTTCTTCTTTTTCTTCTTATTATTATTATTGATAATAACAGATGACTGCCTGCTGATGAATACATTTACATGCTTCTTAGTGTAGTTTATTTTGCTGCTTACAGGACACATTTCATCTGCAGATTATTGCCGGCGACCTGACATCCAATATCAAGTGGCTTCTTCCATATGTTGGTAAGTGGTTTATCTAAAGTCTATAACTATAACTATAAACTCTTGGCTTTTTTAATGTCAACAGAGATCAAAAGGACTTAATTACTCGTAAATGGCTTTGTGTCATGTTGTCCCCTCTGGAACTCAAACATGAACTAAGGACATTTGCCAAGTTATCATTCAGTCCTTTACCATTATCAGGGCCATAGTCAGCCTTTCCAAGAGGGGGGATTCCTTCCAAAGCTACCTACAAGGATTCCAAACCTACTATATACTAATAAAGCTTCATTAAAATTTTCGTTTCATGCTTTTATATACATACTGTATCAGATATGTGCTATTTTGATACAAACCAGGGGGAATTCCGGAATGCCTGGAATCACCCCTGGCTACGCCCCTGATTATGGATGTGTATATAGACACTTCATAACAGTACAGATAAATTGCTGTTTCGACACTCATTCGTTTGTTACAGGGCAGTATATAATTACATTGTCTGCTATTTGAAGTTTATTCGTGCTCACGAGAGTTTACCATCAATGTTATATGCGTTAGGTCACATACAGATTGCTCAGGTTCCAGCCAGGCATGAACCAGATTCCTCTGGAGAGATAAACTACAGCTATGTATTCCAACTCCTGCAGGAGCTGCAGTACAGTGGATGGATTGGCTGTGAATACCAACCCTCAGGTATGTGGTGTACATGTTAGTACTTTCTGTACTACAACGTTTCTTTGCATTCTGATACGAAATTGAATTTGGCAGTGTGTCATAATGAATGATAGCATGAAAGTCTTTATAATTATTTATCTTGATTTTATTTCAGGAGGAACTATTGATGGGTTACGCTGGTTAAAAGATATGGCACCTACAACCTGAGGCAGCAAATCTACCTGTTCCAGCAATAACAAGGATATGGCCACAAATCAAATACATGCTGTGATTAGAAATATATGTAACCAAATAATCTATACCCGCTTACACATTTTATAATTAAAGCTCCATGTTATATATATACTAATTAGTTTATTTGCCAGTCACTATATGCTTTCTGCTCACATGTTACAAATATACTAGCTCTAGAACTATACTATAGCCCATCGCTCCGACGAAGGCGGCCTGCGGCGGAGCCCAGGTGTAGCAAAGGCCGGCCGGGCTATAGTTCTAGAACTAAAAATTACGAATGATACAAATCAAATAAATATGTTCTGTTTGACATATTCAACTGACAATGTGAATGTGCAAGATTTCTTGAATAAGCAAAAACATTGCTGTGTGACTATGAAGCTCACTAATCACGCGTCGTGAGATCTGTTCTAATATGACATCGTACCGCCATCTAACGGATGAAATACTTTACAAACATATACACGTATACACGTGCTGTAACCTAACGGCAGAACACGTATATCAACGTTGATATACGGGCGCTGCTATGGTTGTAACATAGAGATAGAGATATAGAGAAATATATAGAGACCTACCTATATTACATACATTACCTTTACCTACTTATATTATTTTTATGGTTCGTAAGCACAAGTTGTGAGATCTGTTCTAATATGACATCGTCGCGCCATCTAACGGAAGAAATACTTTACAAACTTATACACGTGTTGTAACCAATGTCAGAACACGTATATAAACATTGATATACGGGCTCTGCTATGGTTGTAACATAGAAATATATAGAGACCTACCTATATTACCAATATTACATATATTACCTTTACTACCTTTATTTCTATGGTTTGGTTTGTAATCACACGTCGTGAGATCTGTTCTAATATGACATCGTCGCGCCATCTAACGGAAGAAATACTTTACAATCGCGCAATGACGTCAGTAAAACGCCGCACGTGAAACATTAGCGGATTTGACAGCGACATGCGTTTGGTGAGCGATAAACGAGACTGATAACCAGTCGCGACCTGAACGTCTGTCTACGTGGCCCTCGCAAACAACTGTCTCTGCGTGTTCTTCTTTTCTCCAACCATGGCAGCACATAGGTGGGTAAATTTCACGGTTTATACTTACCGGTATACGTCTCAAAAATTATACTTACTCACTGTCTGTCTCAATGCACCGGCATGACCAAGTTTTTGGCTAACGCTAGTGTTCCCAACTTTGATATCATTAATGATTAATGATTAATGATTGATAATCCTAACCCTAACCCTAACCCTAACCCTAACCTAACCTAACCTATAACATAACCCTATATAACCATTAATTACACCGTTATACACCATATTATACACCATTATAACCATTATACACCATTATTATACACCATTAATGACACCGTCATTAGGGAACACTCCTAATGGAGTACCGTATCACCCCAGTTTTTAACCATCACGACCATGAGTAGGTAAGATTATGACTACGGGTCTCACAGCTGGCTATATAACTCGTGTACCGTACGCCCACGGCCTGCTATCACAAGCAGGGCTGGCGGCACAGTGGAGCGTAACCCCTAGGGCCGCTGAGAGGGTCTATATGTCCCCCATGTTACGTACTGCCGGAACGTACCCTGCTACTATCTATATAACCGTTACCTAACCCTAACCATATAAAATATAGTTACCAGGGTACGTACATTCCGGTATACCGGACTGTAGCCAGGGTACGTACGTTCCGGCAGTACCTGGGGGACATAGACCCTATGAGCCCTAGTGCCCTACAGCGCTAGAGGTACCCGGGTACGGGGGGTACGTACCATGTAGAATGTATAGCCTGTAGGACGAAAAGGGGTACACTGGTAGAGCTAGTTGGGAGCCAGGTGCCAAGCGCCATGCAGCCTTATACCCGCAGCTAACAATCTCATAGTACTGTTACTATACTGTGCAGGATGCCGTGCGCTGTAAAGGTGTGTGCAGAGCTGAGCAGCGCAGCCCATGACTGTTTGATCGTGGTCGCCGAAAGCCTGCAGTGCTTGAGTGGAGAGCTGGCATTCCTAGGCACTGCACTCACTACCCAAAGAGAGGTATATACGATCTACATCCGAAAGTTCACCCGTAACGTATAGACGACCCCCCCTCCCAGAACCCTGCCTGTATATGTATGATCTTGGGAGGGAGATCTCTCGATCTGCATTAAAAAGAGCAGAGTTCTAGAGCCTTTGTAAAAGTCTCCAACACTCTACGCTCTACATCAAATGCTCTAGCTCTAGCTACCTGCATGTGTCTCCACCTACCCACCCTTTACGCTACAACCTGTTGTGTAGATATGTGCTTACAGAGCCAACACTATCACTGGCCCTATATGTGGTTGACGATTACTTGGCCCTATGGGAGAAGAACTAACAGTCGAGACTACTGTATGACCCCAGCCTGTAATGTTGTAATATGTTTGGACTTGTATCCTAAAGGATACATAAGCTGAGTATTACAACGACTATCCACATATATGAGGGAGCAGGTCCATGGGGTAGGAGCAAGGAAGTGGAGAAACATGCAGAGCTAGCTATGCTGGGTATGGGTATGGGTATATCTAGGTCCATGTGGTAGGAGCAAGGAAGTTGAGAAACGAAGCTAGTGATGCTTATTTTTCTGGAATTTTTATACCTTTGAAGAAAGCAAGTAAATAAGGTATTGAGCTGCAAGGTAGTCCTCCCATGTTACTCATAGGCATGCATTGTCATGTCATTAGCCCCCATACTAGTTTTAGCTTCTAATTAGCTAATTCTAGTTAGGCCCTAGGGGTGGCCACAACTCTAGGGTGGAATAGAGGTGAGCAGGTTTTAGCACTATTGAATATCGCATTTCTCTTTTGAATGGCATATTTATTATGTACACTGAAATTTCACTGTTAGAGTCATATCCATATGTTCTATCTTGTATTTTATGTTGTTTTAAGCAATCAGTAATATAATCACACATATCTTTCAGGTGGACAAGAGTGTTGATAATGCGTTGACAGTACTGAGGCTGGAGAATATATCAGGAAAGAGATTGGTAGGTTGCACTGATGTGCCTCTGCCAGTAAACTAACGCATTTTAATTTCAGACTTTCTGGCAATAGTCATACCCCTTCTGTTTCCCATGTACCACCCACCGTGCTCCACCCTCGTCCCTTTATGATAAGTAGGAGGTTATATACAAGCTGTGAGGGCAGCTTGGATAAAAAAACGGTATTTCGAGACATGGCAAGAGCTGTTCAAACCTACATAATGAAACTTTCACAAGTCAAAACTAGTCGGCTATTGCTAGCCTACATCCTAGAGTTAACCAGGTCCTCAGCATAGCTTTGAAAGATAGCTCAGTGTATCTGTACCTCCAGTGTACCTATTTCCATATTCACGCTCCACTATATATTGATACACTATCTTTGCTGTTAGTTTTGACAGTCTAGAGTGCGCTGTATTGACGCAAACACCTGCTACAAACGTCTATGCTTTATCGCTCAGTAAATATACCCTAGATGTGATTTATGGTCATATCCTAGTGGCTCTACATTGAGTGTCCCTCTATTGTGTAACTACGTATAAATCCAAATCCCTTATCGACCCTTATAGAATTTATGGAGAGCAAAGGGTATGTGCTTCATATGTACTTCACACAAATCCATACCTTTTTTACTTGTGACACTAATACAGTTTTAGCAATATTTTCTAATGGATTTGGCTCCATTTACAATGCATGGTATCTTTGTACTTTTCAGGAATCTCAATAAGAATTAAAAATAACTAAAAACCTGATTTAAAAAAAACGTTGCTTTGTGTTATGGATGAGCCTCTAGCTTGTTCTTCTGCCATTATAAGAATTGATGTTGCACTGTTAAAGTACCTTTATGGCACGATTCACATATACTGGAGAATTTTAATTATTAAAAAACTGATGGCGATTATTTCAGTTGTGTACCTCAATGTTATTTTCAGTAAAAATATGCATTATTTATACTCCATTATCATTGCGATTAAGTAATAGATACTCTACCCTTTAAATTACTGAGAATTTCATTTGATTAGAAAACCAGCTGCATATGTAATGGTCGGTGTGCATTTCAGGTGTACTCGCCTACAGGTCCTGTCAATAGGGACTATGATGATGTCCGGAGATATTCGGAAGCCGCCACTAGCGCTACCAAGCGGTAGGATTATATGTCAGAGAGACAGCTGTCACTCTGATGACAGAGCATTGAGACTGCGACTGATCGAGTGCCTTAGTTATCACATACACACACAGACACATGCACAACACACATACACATGCACACACAGATACATGCGACACACACACAAACACACGCGTGCACACACACACATGCACACTTAGACAAACACATGCGTGCACATGCACACTTACACGCACATGCACACACACAAATACATGCGTGCACACACACACTTACATGCACATGCACACACGTGCAAACGCACATGCATACATGTGCAAAAGCACATGCATGCACGCATGTACTTGCATGCACATACGCACACACGTATATATGCAAGAGTCTAGTACCAAAGTTAGTCACAGTCACATTCTCTCTTTTTTTTAAATATTTTTTATAAGCTTAGCAGTAGTAATATTATCACAATAGCTCTGCTGTAACAGTCATGGATAAAACTAACAAACCATGTCTGTTACAGCGCACTGGCCATGGGCAGTGTGCGCCCTCTACTGGTGGTGCCTAGCAGCAGTGCTTTCAAGCATGCCAAGCTTATGTCTGTACTTGGGGCTTTGCATGCGCTGTATGTGGTAAGTGAACACGATGTCCAATTTACGCTGTATATTTGGCGGTGGTTTAATTTTCGCGAATTTCGCAAATGCGTCCCCGACCGCGAAAATAACAGCACGCTGTTCTTCACTGATTCGGGAATTCACCGAACGCAAAATTAGCCACTCGCGAAATCGTCCATCCAGTCTGAATTCGCGAAAATATCTGTACGCGAAAAGTATGGTGTATACAGTAGATGAAAGGTTCTTGTTATTTTACTTTATTTTATTCATCATGACATGACTAATTATGAAAGTAAATTTAAGTTGGATTTACAGACTCGCATTCTATAACCTGCTTCCGAATTTAACTTCCAGCCATTAGAGGTACGTGAGGCCGTTCCAACGAGGGCCAGCAAGGTTAGCTGTCTAGGGGTCTGGACATCGGTCAGTGGGAAGGAAACACCAGATGGTCTGGTCAAGCTCATTACTGCATTGGAGAGTGGAAGGTATATACGTATTCCACGCACGAGACCACTAAACTGATTTCTGTACAGTTTCTCAACATGAATCCCGTATAGAGACGAGCAGCCAGGCAAACATTGCGGGTTCTATATTCTGCATTAATTTCTATGCAGAGAAATGCTACATATAGATCTGGGATATACCAGTTTGCATTAATTAGTGCTTACAACCATGTATGTGGCGCCACCTATTGGCAAGCCAGGTTATTGGTTGTTTTTGCCAGGCTAGCACCTTCTTGGAAAAAAATTGAAAAAGATCCAAGACCCCATATTCAAGAAGGGTATTCTTTAAAAGAATATGGAGCCCTTGAAAATGATTAGTATGTTTTTGGCAAAGTCACCTCCAAAGTTGAAAATATGATCTACTTTATGCTGAAATTATGGGCTTAAATTTTACTTTTGCACTGCCAGGAAGGTAATCTGCCATGTGCCATGTTTGTAAAAAGGGTGTATATTTTAATGTTGAAAATCTCATTTATTAATTGATAAAATGTGATGGAAATTGTTCACATTCCCCATGTTTGGTGTCTGTAATAAGGTGAAAATGTGGATAAATAAATGTTTTTCCTGGGACTAGCTGCTACCTCCTTAGACAAACTAGCAACAATGTTAGCGATCTGATGGAAAGCTGTGGGTTGTTGCAGGGGCGTGGCGCGTGACATTGGTGGTTCTGACCCCGAACGCATGGCGGCGCCACGTGTCGCGGAGTACGTCCAGCAGCTATTCAAGGGGTCTTCAGTCAGTGTCAATGTAGTGTCGGATGTCAATGAAATAGAGCGGGACTTCCCACTACTGGCCGCTGTCAACAGGGCGACCAAAGGTGAGCATTCCTCGACCCGAGCGTAAATACAATCAGTACCCACTACTACAGGGTTTCTTATACATAAGACACACAGTGGCGCACCGCCGTTGTCAAATTTAACATCGCCGTTGTGAAAATGTTCCTGTAATTACTGATAAGTATATCCTGTATCTATATACCTATAAGTATATATTATATCAATACATCCTGTATTGGAATCCATCATGCGCAATTTTTTTCCAAACTGGCCATGCATTACCTCCTTTGTCTAATTTTCCCCCAGAAGAAACCCTGTACTAATAGCCTACAAAGTGCTCATCCAGTCTTAATTATCGTACTAAAGGATGTATGTTCACAGACATAATTGTATATGTATATGTAAACTATTCTTATGATATAATTGAATAAATAGATATAGTGACTTGTAGCAGTGTAAAGTCCTGATTTTCTTGAACTGATCGCACGCTGTTATTGTGAACCTTCGTTACACAGGTGTGCCTCGGCACCAAGCGCGGCTCATACAGATGGAATACACTGGAGAGGGCGCCACTGACCTCACCCTGATGCTCGTCGGAAAGGTACGAGCACCGTCAGCTACTTGCAGTAGAAGCCGTTGTCTCACATGTGGCACGAGCGACATCATATTATCAGGCAGGGGTGAATGATGACAGACATCTATGCATTATTCACTCCCTGATATTATCAGGAGTGAATAGTAATGTAAACAGGAATGATGATATAAATCCAAAACTTGTGTGGTAACCGGAATAAACTTTAATAACTTGCACAGTGTAGTCACAACTTTCACCAAGTCTTGCGATCACCTCCAGACTCTCCCTCCTCCTACATCTCTGTCCTATATATTCCCCCCAAAACTCCTACATCCTGCACGCACATGTACCCGTTCTCCCAGACCGCGTCCTACCCCCATTTCACAATGACCCTAGAAACTGCCTAACCTAAAAACACGCTTATCCAATTCACTTTCCTTATCCAATTCCACGCGTCACGTGCGTGCGTGTGCGTGTTGTGTGTGTGTGTGTGTGTGTGTGTGTGTGTGTGTGTGTGTGTGTGTGTGTGTGTGTGTGTGTGTGTGTG